GGTTTCTGTTGAGAAATCAGCTGACAATCTTATGGGTGCTCCTTTATAGGTCACTACCTGCTTTTCTCTTGCTGCTTTTAATATTCTCTCTTTGTCTTTTGCTCTTGGAATTTTAATTATGATATGTCTTGGTGTGGTCCTCCTTGGATTCCTTTTGTTTGGGGTTCTGCAGGCTTCCTGGACTTGTAAGTCTATTTCTTTCCCCAGGTGGGGGAAGTTTTCTGTCACTATTTCTTCTAGTACTCTTTCGGTATCTTGCTCTCTCTCTTTTGGAATCCCCATAATTCTGATGTTGGTTCGCTTGAAATTGTCCCAGAGGTTTCTTACACTATCTTCAACTTTCTGGATTCTTTTATTTTCTCCCTTCTGCAGAGGAGTGTCCTCTGGCTCTTTGTGTTCTAAATCTTTGTCTTGATTCTTGCGATCTTCCAGTCTGTTTTTAGGACTTTGTATAATATTTTTTATTTCAGACAATGTTTTCTTCATTTCTTGTTGATCCCTTATTATTTCTAGTTGCTCCCTTTTCATATCCTCATAGGTCTCATTTATTTTATCGGCCTTTTTTAGGATATTGTTGGATAACCTTATAACTGTAGTTTTGAATTCAATGTCCAATCTTTTCTTTTCCTCCATCTCCTTCCTTTGTGTCCTTCTTCTTGTCTGCATTTTAGTTGTTTCCCTGATTTGATGGAATAGCTTTGTGTGCTAGGTGTTCTGGTAGAGCCCAGTAGCACAGCCTTCCCAGTTACCTGCAGTGGACAGTCTTGGTGTAGCCCTTTGTGGGCTGTGTGTGCAGTCTTGTTGTTAAGCCTTGCTTATTGTTGGTATCACTGGGAAGTGTTGATCTCCAAGCCAGTTGGCTGTGAGGATCAGCAGTGACTCAGCTAGGAGGGTTTCCGTACTCTGCTTGAATAGGGCGGGGTCTCGGGGTGGCGCAGACAATCTTTGGTTCCCTGTCAGTCTCGCCTTAGAAAAGTCCTGTTCATGGAGAGTTTTGGAAGATTGGTTGCAGGCGCGCGCGCACCTCTTTGGTAAAGGCGCAGACAAGCTTTGGATTCCTGCAAGTCCCTCCTTAGAGAAAGCCAGCCTCTGGGAGAGCTTCTGTGCTCAGCCACAGGTAGGGCTGAGTCTCGGGTTGGTGCAGACAAACTTTGTTTTCCCTTCGGCTCCTCTCCAAGTCCTGCAGTAATGGCCTCTGGCTTCACACACCTCCAAGAGATCTCTGCCCACTGCCTGACAGTCTGGCCTCTCCCTGTCTGGGGCCGTTTATCAGAGCAATAGGGTGATTCTGTTTTCCTCTAGGACAAGAAAGCCAGCCATGTTAGCTGTTTTCCCTCTCCGCGCCAGGAGTAAGCCAGTAGCGAACTCAGCCCAGCCCGCCCTCTCTGCGTGCAGGGAGTAAGCCAGCAGCAATCTCGGTCTGGCCCTTCCTTTCCGCACCGGGATTAAGCCAGCGCCTTTTCGCGCACACAGTTCTCTGTACCTTCACAGTTCCTGAGGTTCAGTGTGCCTTCTCTCTCCTTCCCAGATGGCAGAGCCTCCTCTCAGCCAGCCGTCTGGCGCTTCAGGGCAATGCCTCCCCTGTTTTTCAGTTCTAAATTCAAATTTGTTGTGGTAGGCTGCATTCCGGTGTCTACCCTATGCCGCCATCTTGGTTTCTCCTCCCCATTTTATTTTATAGAAGAATTAAAATCATTTGGTCATTTATTGTTTGAGCAACATAAAGTAAAAGCAGAGAGTTTGAGAGTCCATTAACAATTCTTTGCCATCACCTCTTTCCCAGCAGTTGTAAGCAGAAGGAAGTAGAGAGTGATTGTCACAATTATCTATATATATGAGACTAATATGCTAAGTGTCAATCTGACTGGTATCTATGATACACACTGACCACCAGGGGGCAGACACTCAATGCAGGAGCAGCCATGGTGCACACTGGCCATTTACAGAGAAACAGCACCACGGGCGTGATGCCCATGAAATAATACTTGGCTTTCCCCAAGTGGGACACAGGCCCTGCCACCAACCCAGAGTAACACCCCACCAAATTGCAGCCATCGCTTCCAAGACCCCATGGCACAAAATGTGGCCCACAGTCCAGCCCAGCCCAGAAATGGTGGCTGTGGGTGCCTGGTAATGACATTATGTTACAACGGCAGCTCCCTCTCTCTAGTGATTACTAGCCTCCTTGCAGCTTTTTAGCCCAGGAAAACCAGTTGCTTCATAGCCAGGTGCAAATATTTTACACTTTAACCAAATGTCTATGAAGCTTTTTCCTGTGCCTCAAACTCATTTGATCTTCACAGAAGTCTTAGAGTAGGTAGATAGGAGACTCGGTGGAATCCTATTTTCATTAGCTGGAAAACGGAGATTTAGAAAACTTAGAAACTTGACCTGACTGAAAAGAAGTAAGAAATGGTGGACCTTGAAAATGGTTTCAGGTTTTCTCACTGTGCAGAATATAGTCAAACACTGCTGCAGTTAAGTATTCCACCCTTTTTTCTCCCTGCATGATCTACAATAATAATCTGCTTCATCTTGATATTTATTGCTGTGTTGCTGAAAATTACCTAAAAGAGAAGTTGGAGTGATTTACTGGGCTGGAAAAAGTTTAGCTAAATCAGAAAGGAAGCCTAATTAAGCAAGTTTATTCTATATATATATAAAAGGCTAAGTTGACTCACACATGTGCGATACATGTAAAGCTCGTGCTGGTGCCAATTGTACATGTTTGTTTTGATCTGTCATTATCTATTGTGAATTTGGTTGACATATTATAGATAAAGGGCAAATAGTGATATTAAAATATTTCTTCTAATTAATTTCATTTCAATGTGCATGAATTTGTGCATTGGGCCTGGTCACCCCTAACTCCCTCTCTTGCAGGCCTGGTGAACCCTAACTGCCCTCCCCTGCAGGCCTGGTCCCCCCCTCACACCCTCCCCCCAAATTTCTCTCCCCTGCAGGCCTGGGTCCCTCAGAACTGCCCTTTCCTGCAGACCCAGTTGCCCCCAACTTCCTTCCTCTGCCAGGCCTGCAGGGGAACAGTGATCTCCTGGTTCATAGGTTGATGCTCAATCATTGAGAGTTGCATGTAATATGGACATGTTGCCTAGAGATTCAGAAGCCGTTTGTAATCATGAAGATGAAATCCACAAAGGACAATAGATCTGTAAGATGGAAGGAGCCATGACATCCGCCTTGGACAGCTCACTGCAGATAGGTTACATAACAAAAATAAACCACTTGCCTACTGGAGTCATTCTTCTTTTATTTATTTTAAATTTTATTTTATTGTTTAAAGTATTACAAATAGTGGTACATATATCTTCTCTTTTCCCCCATTGACCTCCCCCCAGCCTCCCCTACCCACTGGCACATGCCCTCATCCCACCTCTCAGTGTCTTGTGTCCATTAGTTGTGTTTATATGCATTCATACAAGTCCTTTGGTTGATCTCTCTCTCCCCACCCCCTCACTTCCTAATACTCCCAAGCCTTCCCACTGTAATTTGACAGTCTGTTTGATGCTTCTCTGCCTCTGTATCTATCTTTTAAAAAAATATATATTTTATTGATTTTTTACAGAGAGGAAGGGAGAGAGATAGAGCTAGAAATGTCGATGAGAGAGAAACATCGACCAGCTGCCTCTTGCACACCCCCTACTGAGGATGTGCCCGCAACCAATGTACATGCCCTTGACCGGAATTGAACCTGGGACCTTTCAGTCTGCAGACTGATGCTCTACCACTGAGCCAAACGGTTTCGGCATGTATCTATCTTTTTATTCATCAGGTTATAATGTTACTTATTTTCCACAAATGAGTGCGATTATGTGGTATTTTTCTTTCATTGCCTGGCTTATTTCACTTAGCATAATGCTCTCCAGTTCTATCCATGCTGCTTCAAATGGTAAGAATTCCTTCTTTTTTATAGCAGCATAGTATTCCATAGTGTAGATGTACCATAGTTTTCTAATCCACTCATCTGCTGATGGGCATTTGGACTGTTTCCAAATCTTAGCTATGGTGAATTGTGCTGCTATGAACATAGGGGTGCATGTATCCTTTCTGATTGGTGTTTCTAGTTTCTTGAGGTATATTCCTAAAAGTGGGATTACTGGGTCAAATGGGAGTTCCATTTTTAGAGTTTTGAGGAAACTCCATAATGTTTTTCATAGTGGTTGCACCAGTATGCATTCTCACCAGCAGTGCACGAGGGTTCCTTTTTCTCCACATCCTCTCCAGCATTTATTGTTTGTTGATTTGTTGATGATAGCCATTCTGACAGGTGTGAGATGGTACCGAATTGTCATTTAAAAAAATATATTTTATTGATTTTTTTACGGAGAGGAAGAGAGAGGAATAGAGAGTAAGAAACATCAATGAGAGAGAAACATCGATCAGCTGCCTCTTGCACACCCCCTACTGGGGATGTGCCCGCAATCAAGGTACATGCCCTTGACCGGAATCAAACTCAAGACCTTCAGTCTGCGGGCCCATGCTCTATCCACTGAGCCAAACTGGTTTCAGCCAAATTGCCATTTTAATTTGCATCTCTTGGATAATTAGTGACTTTGAGCATGTTTTCTTATGCGTCTTGGCCTTCCCTCTGTCTTCTTTTGAAAACTATTTAGGTCCATTGCCCATTTTTTTTATTGGGTTGTTTATCTTCCTTTTGTTATGTTGTATGAGTTCCCTGTAAATGTTGGAGATTAAGCCTTTATCAGTGAAACATTGGCAAATATGTTCTCCATACAGTGAGTTTTCTTTTGTTGATGGTTTCTTTTGCTGTTGGAGTCATTCTTGTTTGAAGCTGAATGCCACCTCAATTAATGGTTTCAGTATTTAAATTTTTTAAACCTTGACAAAAAGAACTTAAACATAAAAGTAAAAGGCAGGCTATGTTAAGTATAAAACTGTAACAGTTATGTTAGTGTGGTATAAATACTGGAAAGCTAAGATGGCAACTTAATCTATGTCAGCATCATAGATGATTAGGGAGGATGGGCTTTTCAATGAACAGTGCTGTGATAACTGATTGTCCAGAGCAGGAAAAAAAAGAATATGGAATTAACTTCTCTCTCATTGTATTAAACATTAGGTACACCATTAAAACATATGTTTTAAATCACTTATGTCAATGAAAATATAATATCATTATATAATGATTTATTGATAAATGCAGAAGGCAAAATTTCCAGAAGAAAGGAAACATTATATGAGTAGCTATTTAATTTCTCTAAGTGAGTTGGTTTCAAGTTAAAGATCATCCTATTAGGGAACTGGAAGTAAGGACAATGCTTCATGCAGGTGAGATATTTAGGTAGGGAACCCAAGAGGAGAAAATAGAACCTTAGCAACTCAGATGCATGAGAAGAGTGGGGTAGGGGGGGATGTTAATCATGGTGGTGGCCTCAAGTATTTGAATAGTGAACAATTTGGGCTCAGATGTCAACACTACTTTCTATGAGGCTGGGCTTCAGGTATTCATAGGGAAGGTCTAGCTGCTCATTCCGGGCCACGATTTCCTTTTCCAGTTTGTCCAGATCAGCCTGAAACTGCCTTAAAACAGCCTTGGGCTCAGGACCTGAGAAATACTCTTCTTTATGATGCCCCAGTGGTACCTGAAGCAGAAAGCAAGGATCAATCATCTTCTAGTTCTAAGACAAAGGAACCCAAACTCCAGTCCCTCACCCTAAGTCTCCTTGTCAGCCATCAGTCCCCTCAGAATTCCAGAGGTCCCCTCTTACCATGTCTTGCTGTGGCTGGCTAAGAAGCCATGTGGCAAACATTTGAAGACAGCTCTGCCAGACATTAGGTAGTGAGCCCATCACTGTGTCCATTGTGATATCTTCCTTGGTGGTAGGTGGGGGCATCCGCATTGAGCTTGGGGCATTAGGGACCCAGGCATACCAGTCAAACTGGGGAAGAAAGAATCTGGAGTCACTCAGAAACTCTGATTCAGGAACTTAGACCCCAGCTCTGTTCCTCAAGTACCCCCAAGCTTTCTCTCAGACATCCAGACCTGGCCCGTGTTGACTGCTGCATGCTGGGCAGAGCATGTAAAGATGCACATGGTAAGGAAATGGCAGAGCTGAGCCCGAGACTGGAAGGACACAGGGAAACCTAGAGAAAAGAACAAAGCATAGACACTGCATTTCCAAATGCTGATATCTTGGCATGTCCATCCATATATTAGAATTAGTGAGTGTCCATTCATTCATTTATTTAAAAAGTCATGAACTAGTATGTATCACACAGTATATAGGCATTGGGAATATGTTTGTGGGCAAAACAGATTGTAGTAGTGAAGAATGATAATAAACAGAATAACTAAGTAAAAGGTTAGTGATAAGAATATAAGTAAGTCAGGAAAAGGAGCTATGAGAAATCGAGGAGGGGTAGTTAATAAGTTAGCCAACAGACCAGTCTTTGATTACTCCTGACTAATTAATTGTACTAATAAATTGCTAGTTTCTCTGAGTTTATATTTTTTTTACTCTGAAAATAGAGGTTATAATAAAAGTTACTTTATAAATTGATGGTTCATGTAAAGCCCTTCAGTCCACTGTAGCTATGTATATAAGGTGGAGAGTGGGCAGGGCCAAGAGGGCCAAGAGTTGGTTGGTCAAATATCCAGTGTTCAAAAGTAGTTAAAAGCAACAGGAGAGAAGTAGACAACCCAAAATAAAATGTTACAAAAGAATAACATGCTCGCTCCACACAAAGGAAGATATCCATGTGGCTATTAAACCTAGGACAAGTTCCTCAGTTCTACCAGTCACTGGGAGAATACAACTTAAACTCATAATGTGAAAACATAACATATTAACAATATGACCAAAGTATTTTTCAAATATTTGAGAAGATACTGACTCTACCCCATACTCTGGAGAGGAAGTTTAAATGTATACAAGCACACTGAAAAACTGTCAGAAACCACTAAAGCTGAACATACACAAGTCCTATGACCATCAATTTCACTTCTAGATACACACCCAACAGAACTGTACACACAACATTGTTCACAGCAGCAATGACATTAATAGCCTCAAAATGGAAACAACCCAAATGCCCATCAATGGCAGGAAGGAAAAAAATAAAGCCTGTCATATTCACAAAATAGAATAACATACATGAGAACAATGAACCACATGCTGCATGTCACAACAGCAGGGGTATATATCAAACATATTTGGAGACATTAATGAATGCACATTTGTGTTTTCATTTGTATAAAGTTCCAATGGGGAAAATGAACCTGTGCAGATGAAGTGGTTACTTTTGGATGGGAAAGGACTGGAATAGTATACAAGGGACTTTATAGGAGCTGGTAATGTTTTTTTTCTTTGTGCTCATTATATAGGTGTGTCACCTTACTAAAAGTTCAATTTGTAGGCCAATGATTTATAACATTAACTTTTTCTCTATGTTTATATTATTTTAATAAAATTTCCACCTTCCCCTAAAGTGGTTAAGAATACTGAGATTGCCCTCCCATTCCTGGAAAGTAGTTTCAGGTCTGGGCTCTAATGCAGAAAAAAAAAGAAGTTATAGACTGATGTTGGAACTGAAACAGCATGAAATCCACTGTCCCAACCACTCACTTTACAGTTGAGAGGCTGCTCAGGAAGCTTAAGCACCTGCTCACCTCTTATAGTTGCTGACCATATGGAGGAGGTAATTTTTTGGAGTGGGGCATATGATCACAATCATTTTACATTGACAACATTGTCACATTCATTATTTCATTTGGGACAAGAAATACATTCACTTTAGAGAAAGTATATTAAAATATTAAATATTATATAATATTTATATTATATATAAAATATTAAAGTATATTAAAAGTATATCAAAGAGATTAAATAACTTTCCTCAAGCCATAGGTCTTGGAAGAGAAAATCTTAACACTCTGCCTTTAATAAGGGTGGTGAGAGAAGGTTGGTACAAAGAGAACCATGAAAGTTGCCAGAGATATAGTGTGGGTGCAAGAGGTTAAAGCTCATACTCAAATAAGTTTTACAAGTGCTCTGATGTGGGTATTTCATGGGGAGAAGCACGAAAGAGAGAATGAGAGGGTCTTTTGGAGCACGTGGAGCCTGATGGACAGAACTGAGACATACTACAGAGATTTTGGTCTTGGAAGGGCTGACGAGGTGCCGTTAGATGAATGCGGAAGGTTCAGCCCCAGCTACTTTGAGGTGTTACTACACTCCATGGTTGGCTTGTGGTTTACTGATGTTTGCATCCACAGGGCTTGGTTACAGGTAATAGCTCTTAGCTATTGGCTACAATCATCACATGGAGGGAATGGAAGGGATGCAAGGTATTGGCGTGAAGTGGCAAGGAGCTAAAGGATGATTCAAAACAGTCCCATTTGGCCTATGTGTACTAGAGAGAGGAATATGAACTTAGGAAGAGCTCAAGAAAGGCTATTTTTTTGCTATGGAAAAAAATGGGGTAGAGGACCTAAATGTTGTTTACTTGTGAGGAGGGCATGTTTGCCTAAGAAACTTGAGTCCCAAGGATCATGGCAATGAGTTTGGGTTTAAGTAAAAATATATGCAGTACTGAGACTACATCTAGAAATGACTCTGCACCGTGGCAGGTGTACAGGATGTCTGGATCCCTGGAGAGGGCCGGACAGTAGCAACAAGGAGGAAAGGGGAGGGAAAGCAAGTATAGGCTGTCATGGGCCTTGGTAGTATTAACCTCCCCATTTCTAACCTTAAGTAAGAAAACAGACATTCGGAGAGTATTTGGCAGGGCCTGGGCAGATGACTCACTGACTGTGGTTCTGGACTTAGAAGTCCTTATGGTATGTTAGGTGCATCTGTGAAAAGGCATGGGGTCCTTGAGTTTCTAGAATTATCCTGAGATTTAGGAAGTGGGAATGGGATTAAGGTACTCCATGTGTGAAGGGAGAGGGGGTGATGAGGAGTTGAGGTCATGCTTCCAGAAGGGCAAGGCTGGCAAGGAGCTCCCTTGTCTAGGGAGGAATCTCACCTCGGTCCTGGGCCTGGCACAGCCCCACCTCAGTGATCTCCCGACACCAGACCTGCAGCTCAGGGTCCCCTCTCACGACGTCATCCCCATGGTAGAAGAGGTGGATGATCCCTTCCACGTATCTGCCCAGAGAAGGGAGCTGAGCTTCTGTAAGAGTAGAAGGCTGTAGCCTCTGACTGCTATTCCTTTTCTGTGGTGTCTATCCATTTGACTCTCAGTGTATCTGCGGACAGATCTTACAAGACTTGCCTTTGGGATATCCCTTAGTTTTTTCTACACACTAGTTTAGAAAGAAAAAACTTATATTATTAGTTTTGATAATTCCACCGGGCTGATGTTGCTCAGTGGTTGAGTGTGGACCTATGAACCAGGTGGTTAATTTTTGATTCCAAGTTGGGGCACATATCTGGATTGCGGGCTTGATCACAGGGGATATGGGGGAAGGCAGGAGGCAGACAATCAATGATTCTCTCTGATCACTGATGTTTCTTTCTCCCTCTCTCCCTTCCTCTATGAAATCAGTACAAATACAATATATTAAATAAGTAAATAAAAGGATTCCATACACATGGTTGATAGTCACTCTTCATAACAAAAACCCTGATTCTACCAGACCCCTTGGTTTTACTCACCCACACAACGCTGCCTGCTGTCTACTTTAGCTTTCCCATTCTCAGATTTGGCCCACTACCTCCTCACTGTTCCTCATTTCTCCTTGATGGAGTCCTTTGCTTCTCTTGTCTCAACCTTCTTGTTCTGTATTCCTTTGCCCACATGGTGAACTCAGGTTAAAGCCCCGTTCTCACTGTTCCCAATGTCCCTGTATTTCTCAGCTAGCACTCTCACCCACCGAGCAATGATGTCCCAGAGGCGTAAAGCATCATGGGCATAGAGGGCACTTGGGATTCCCATCAGGCCCCGGTCAGCCAGATCATCAGGAGGACAGAGGGAGCGGTAGGTCAGCTGAGTCGTGGCCCGACGGATCAACTGCACATGCCCCCCTCCACCTGTGCTCCATGCCTGTGACAATAGAAATGTATATTATTGATTTTAGAGAGGAAGTGAAAGGTAGAAACATCAACTATGAGAGAGAATCATTGAACAGCTGCCTGTTGCACACCCCACACTGGAGATTGAGCCTGCAACATAGACATATGCCCTGACTGGGAATTGAACCATGACCTCTTGGTTCATAGGTTGATGTTCAACCACTGAGCCATGCCAGCCAGTTGAAATGAAAGATCTTGAGGGGAGAAACAGAGCTGGAGAACATGGCATAGTATATAAAGTGGTCAGATGTGGACTTTTCAGATTTAATGACATTGGTATAAAGGGACAAGGCTCCTGAGTTTAAGGGTCAGGACATACACACAAGGGGAATGGCAGCTTGAAAGTGACAGGAGATGATAATTAGGTGGCCACCCCATTACCTCCTTACCTTGTCAAATAAACCTCCATCTGAGACGAGTCCAGGTCGTGCCCGGGTGTTGATGTCCATGGTGTAGCGTGTGTGTGGGATCAGGAGCTGGATGGAGAAGGGTGGTATATGGAGGAAATATGGATCCTTCTTTATTAGGGAGTGGCACTCAGCATGGTAGCCTTCTCTCCCTCTCTTCTTGGCCATTTTATCCCTGTTAGAGTCTTTGCAGGTTGGTTCCCTCTTGCCTTTCTGATGTCTTACTCTCATGTTCTCATATGGCCCTGTCAGTTGAGCTTTGTAGTCTGAATGATCGTGATTTTAATTGACACTTCATTACTTACTTTGATACTTGACCAAGAAAATAAACCCTCTAAGGGTCCATCTCTTTATCTGTTTACAGGGAATGACAATAGGGTCTCATCACAAATGCTGTGGTGATGCTTGTGTGTATTATGTATGAGAGTGTTTAATAATTGCCTAGCACACAGATACCCTTGAATAATAGTTGTTATAATTTCCTTTATTATTTCCACCTTAAGGATAGATGTCCTTTAAGAATCAGTCCTATAACTTTTGATTTTGTAAAAATATTTTTTTCTATTATGCATACCCTTACAGTTTATACTAATTTTCAAAGCTAATCCTTTAATCTCTAGTTGTTTTTCTCTTGCATTTTTTAAATTTCAGAATTGGGGTAGGTAGGTTACTTTTAGTCAGAATTAAAGGAGCCATACTGATCTAGCTTCTTTATCAGCTGATGGGCCATTGTCAAACTTCCTCCCATCCCCAGTTAGGCACTGTTTCGTAGAGCCCCTCTCTCCTGCTTTCCCTTGTCCATTAAAAAAGGCCACCTGATCCTGATGTGCATTTCCTTTTGTCTTAGATAATTTTGTTTTATCCTGAGATGGAGGATTCATGCAATATTGATATTTATGTGAGCTGGTGATGCTGCAGAGAGGGAAAGACCCAACTAAGTTCATTGGAATTAACATATTAAGGCAACTCTCATATTTCTGCAACTTTAGAAAGATTGAAAAAGATGCTGAGTGTCAGAGAGAACCCGAAGTCTTCTTCAGGAGAGAAATATCAGAAGACAAAGAACTATTCATAATGGCAAGAAATACTATATATTTTTTTTTTTTTGCTACATTTAGCCTGTGTCATGCTGTTCTATTATCACCATTTAGAGATGAGGACCCTTAGCGCACATCTAATAAGAACTGAGGCCAGGATTCAGGATCCAGACACCAGCAGTCTGAATGCAGAGCCTGCACAGGTAACCTTTATGAGTGGGCAAGCTTACCCCTGCTGGGTGGCCTGATAACAACTCAACTGTTTACAGGGGGAGGGAGTTATGGTGAGGGGAGATATGTGTAAAGGAGTCTGTGAAGAGGGGATATTGAAGTGTAAAAGTCGATTTAACTACTAAGATACACAGGAGATGATGATGCAAAGGCATCATAAAATCAATGAAATCCAACAACAATGAATTCTGTTTGTGTCTACCTTGTCTATGTTACCCCAGAACCCAAAGGGGTCATCACTACCAATGGACAGGTTTGGGGATAAAGGTTTGGGCTTCTGGAAGAAATAAAATTCAGATGTTTTACCCATCATGCACTCATATCTTGTTACTACTTCCAACTACATGTACCTAAAACTGAACATCTCGTCTTTGACCTCAGATTGGCTTTTCCTGATTGTATTGTTTTTGCTCTGGTCTATAAACTTGTATCATTTTTGCTCCTGCTGCTATGTGTGAAGCTGGCATGGTTGAGAACTGACGTATGAACCAGGAGGTCACAGTTGAATTCCTGATCAGGGCATATGCCTGGGTTGTGGGCTTGATCTTTAGTGTGGGATGTGCAGGAGGCAGCCAATTAATGATTCTCCCTCATCACTGATGTTTCTATCTCTCTTTCTCACTTCCTCTCTGAAATAAATAAAAAAATATTTTAAAAATAATTAAATAAAATAAAACATGCATTTTTAAAGCAAGCATAAGGCTATTTTTGCTGCTTTCTAGCTAGCAGTATATTCTAGGCTCATTGTTTTATAAAATTACAATATTTTTGGATCAGTACAACCATATCTACCTGGTAGGCTTCTTGAGGCTTCAGCAGCTTAGACCTCTGAGCTTTCTCTCCAATCTTGTACCTAAGCATGCTGCAATAACTATTTCCTCTCATCACAAAGTATTTGCATTTGTTTTTCATTTATCTAAATATATATATTTTTATTGATTTTTTTACAGAGAGGAAGGGAGAGAGAGAGCTAGAAACGTCGATGAGAGAGAAACATCGACCAGCTGCCTCCTGCACACCCCCTATCCGGGATTTGCCCACAACCAATGTACATGCCCCTGACCGGAATCGAACCCGGGACCCTTCAGTCCGCAGACCAACGATCTACCACAATGGTCTCGGCTGTTTTTCATTTATCTTAGTACCATGCCATCACCTCTCATTGGGAAGAATAAATAACTGCTTGGGATGCTTTTTTATTCCTTTGACCTTCTACTTAATGGATCCAATGTTGTGGTTTAACATTCTCCATAAAAAATATGATGTTTGTTGCTTTCTCTCTTGATTTCAAACTCTATTTTGAGATTGTTTTCTGATCATTTTTTATGTGTACCATTTGTGTTGCCATTTAAATACTAACTATATGAAAACAGAAAAATAGTTTTGTTTGTCAAATTATATTCCTGCTCTACAACAGACTCTGCTGGAGAATATAAGAGCTGCCTTACAATAAGTGCTGAATATATGCTAAGTGACTTATTACAGTAGATGGCATGTCTCTATATTATTTCTTAAAACTGTATGAGAATCTATGATTATCTAAAAATAAAATAATTTAAACATTAAATAAAGTCATAAGACTTAAGATCCTGACACAATAATCTTCTCTTCACTGTTCACAAATTGTTATAAGTTTTTTTTTTAAATTACCATAACATGGGCATATTCAATTAGAAGAAGCTTTCTTAACATGTTACCAACTAAAAGGCTTAGGCTTCTAAAATCTTTTAAAATATATATATATTTTATTGATTTTTTTGCAGAGAGGAAGGAAGAGGGATAGAGAGTTAGAAACATCAATGAGAGAGAATCATCGATCAGCTGCCTCTTGCACACCTCCTACTGGGGATGTGCCCACAACCAAGATACATGCCCTTGACTGGAATCGAACCTGGGACCTTTCAGTCCACAGGCTGACACTCTATCCATTGAGCCAAACTGGTTTCAACAGGCTTCTAAAATCTTAGGTAGCTGTTGAATTTTTTTTTTTTTTCCATTTCTCTGTGATATCAGAAAGATAGGACATGTAGGTAGAGAATGTACCTTGAAGACAGGGTGCAGTCCTGGGAGGCACCTCATGGTGGCCACAGCAATAACCTCAGCCAGCAAATGAGTGTTCAGCAAGTGATACTGGAGCTCATGAACATGGAAATCTGAACTTCGGACCCACATCTTTGCCAGGAGCCAGGCAAGTGGAGGATCTGAGGGCAGGAACAGTGGTGGGATGGGGCAGCTGGGGCTGGGAGGTTGGATCTGAAACAAAGAGGAACTAAGCATTAATTGACTTCATCCTATTTAGAAACTATGCTTATTATTCTGGAGGGAAACACTAAGATTATCGTCTCCAGAGGGTTATAAACTAATAAGAGGAATGAAGCCCTTCCACTCATGCTCTCACTAGCTGTGGGGGAAGTGTCAGTGCCATGATGGTCAGGTTCAAAGCTGGAGGAATTGGAAAGAGGTTTCCAGTGTGGCTGAGAGAACCCTGATGAGGGTATGGATTAAGATGGTAGAATAGGAAGAAGAAGCTAGACATGTGAGATCCTGACAGTTCTCATCAACTGATTGATGAAAACAATAAGAATGAAAGACATCAAACCAAGGGAGAAAATGCATCTGAGAAAGAAAGTGTATTCCATACACTAAAAGGTCAGAAAGAGATTGGTAGCCAACAGAGACCATTATGACCCTCAAAAAGGCAATTCCAGGTGAGTAGTGAGTAGGCTGTAAGGTATAAAGGAGAGATTGAATACAAGGGCAGGTATCACTGAATGATGCAGGGGTGGGTGACAAGAACCAGCTGTCTTTGTCCAGTGGAAGAGGTTGGGGATGAACACAGAGCAGTGTTGGGAGGAGGTTGCCCAGGACACCTCACCTGGATGACTATAGGTAGCAGCTTTTCACTGGGCTCCATCTTCAGCATGACAAGGGGGGCAGCCAGGTACTGCTTCTCTCCTTGGATCACGTTGGCTTGAATTCCATCCAGTAGAATGAAGTCAGCCTCAAAAAGGGAACCATTCTAAGGAAAGTGGAATGCACCCATGGTTAGAGTTGAAAGCATTCTTCTACACGGCCAAGGCAAAGGGAAAGACATTCACTCTCTTTTCTTGCCATTATCCTACATAAGTACCAGTTGTAGAACTAAAGGAAGTACCAGAGCATCAAGTTCCCTTATTTTGCACAGAGGGCCAAGACCCCATGAAAGGAGTCTTCCCACGAGACATGTGGCTCATGTCTGGCAGAAGTAGTTTTAGGGTTAACTATGCCAGTTAATTCTGTACCACAGGTATGCCAAGCTCTCCCCTTATCAGGCTGCTCAAACTCCTTTACCCAACATCTCTGAATGGTCTACTTTATTGGCAGAATTCACTATGGATGCTTTTCCTACATTATTACCTCTAGGTTTTTCTAGAAGAGGACTCTTCACCTATGGACAATGGATACTATAGCCTCCCTTTCCAGACTCAACTTTGGTCCCACCCCTTCACCACTTCACCTCCTCACATAGAGAAGAAGTAGACATTAAAGGATTGGAGGCTGTACCTGGAGTTCTTTCTCCAGCTGGGCCTGAAGCTCCTCCATCCCTGAGGGCAGCACCAGCCGGGAGGGCAGAGAGGTGGAGCGTCTCAGCAGCATGGGGTTGGCGCCATTGAGCAACTGGTAGCCAAAAAGCTCATCTTCCTGCCAGCGCTGGTGAACCTTCTCTGTGGGGTCGGAGTGGAGGTTGGGAGAGGATATTCACCACAACCTGATGTTCCTCTCCGTTAGGCTCTATTATAGGGCTTTAGTCACATGACTCCTCCATACCCAGCCCACATGTTTTCATTCATGAGGCCTCTGTGAGATCCCCAGGTGTAAGTTCTTTGTTGGCAAGCAATTTTGGGGACTATGGAGTATGACAGCTCATTAACAGGGCCATCAAGGTGTTATGGAGACCTGGGAAACTACTGACCAGCCAGGGCTGTCTTTTGTCCCCAGAAGATCTGATCAAAATCTTCCAAGCGTTTCCAGGGGCTTGGGAGGGTGTAAACATATTTGAGGGCAATCTCCATAATCCTGGAACAGATATCAAGAACGAAACCATCAATTTATCAAATCCCACCCGTTTCTGGATCCACCAGCCCCACTCCACTTTGACAATTTTCTCACCCTGCAATTGCTGACCACTCAAAGTCTAGCCTTTTCTGCTCATGGAATCTCATATTTGGATGCAGGTCATCTATACCGTCTGCAGCAATTGTCATGGGTAACCCTTCTTTCCAGGTGGCCCAGCTAGAAGATGGGGACAAAGGTTAATGAAGGGGATAGAAGTCATTGATGGAGGAAGGGGTTACAATTGGGAGGCTTGTAATAGGGTGGTCACCGGTAGATTTGCTGTCTTTCCTCCAGTTCCTGTTCTCGGTGCTTCTGGAAGACATCCAAGGAGTTTCCTGCCAGGTGGGCTGGGGAGACATTAAAGCAATTCTCCTCAATGCTTTCTCCAGTCTCATGCTACACCCTGGCTTTTTCCATTTTTCTTTTTTAATGTTTTTTATTTTAAAGTGGTTGAAAGTATTATAGGTGTCCCCCAATTATTCCCTGTTTCCTCCCTTCTTCTGAGCCCCTGACCCATTTAAGGCCTTCACCACACTATTGGCTATATCCATTGGTTATGTGTGTACTACATAAATTCTTTGGTCGATCTCTTCCCATGTCTCCCCCACCCCATTTCTGAGTTGTCAGTCTGTTCTGTGCCTCCATGCCTCCTGACCTTTTTTATTAATCAGTTTTTTTTTTGTGTTCATTAGATTCCACTTGAATGTAAGATCATGAGATATTTGCTTTTCTCTGAGTGGCTTATTTCACTTAGCATAATATTCTCCAGGTCCATCTATGTTTTTGCAAAGAGTAAGAAATCCTTTTTTTTTTTTTTTTACAGCTGCATATTATTCCATTGTATAAATATACCACAGTATTTTTATCCACTCACCTAACTATGGGCACTTTGGTTATTTCCAAATCTTAGCCATTTTAAATAATAGTGCAATGAACATCGGGGTGCATATATTCTTTCTGATTGGTGTGTAGGGCTTCTTAGCATATATTCCTGGAAGTGAGATTGCAGTCTCTTGTTTCTTAACTATATGGCATCATATTCTTTTGCTTTTTTCTCTGGATCTGCTTAATTCCATCATCATTAATCTTCACTACCCACTACCTTTTGTTTTATTTCACCAGTCTCTGATCACATATTTGTCCTGAGAGGAAAATCCCATTATTGACACTATTATAACATTTAACTCAAATTTACCTGTCTATCCCTATTCTTCATGATCCATGAATTTCATTCTTAATGAGCTGAAATGTCAACACCTATCCAACAATATCCTTTGTTACTTTGTTAATTTCCCATGTGCTAGTTTCCCCCTGTCAATGCCTTAGCGTCTACTCCAAAATGACATATTTCAGTTAGGTACACTTACCTCCTCTGACCTTCCCTATCTCCACTGTCGCAACTCCCCTGGGATAAGATACTCTATGTGTGACAAACTAAGAAATGGCTTGACATTGCTACTTTACCTGGCTTCATCTCACTCATCCTCAGCTTCACATAGTTTATAGTTGGTATCCCGACTTAATCCTGACCACATCTATACTTATACTAACTTGTGCCTCAAAGACATTTAGTTCAGGTTTCCATTCTTACCTGCATTTTACCTCAATTGTCCCTTATTCTTAATTCTTAAAGTAACAGATTCGATGTTTGCTGTGTCCTCTTTCACCCCCACCTCAGTCAGTGCGCTCCCTGCCCTCACAGTTGTCTTCCATGTTTTCACAGTCAAGCCAGCTCTTCACCTCATATCATTTATTACTTCTTTCCCCTGTTTCCTCTCAGGGGTCCCATGTGCTAGCCTTACCTGTCCCTGCCCTAACTTGTTCCCAGTCACATGGAGATTTCATTTCCCCTTTATTTTGGCTCTTCTGTTTCCCAGCACGGCTGCCCCTCCCATTCCTTGTGATTACCGTTTTGAGAGGTGGGATCTACACATCACTCATTTCCCTGTCCAGTCCCACTTCCAGCCTTTGTAATTGTATGTATAACTTTCCCCTCATTTCTCGTCTTGGCTACCTTTAACCTGTTGAGCACGCACTATTTCAACACTTAGGACCTTCCTCAATGCTACCCCTGCCTCCTCCACCTCCAGTAGTCCTTAGGTCCTGCACCCACTTCCCTGAGGCGGCCCCTCACCGGTGCCCTCAGGCAGGGTCAGCAGGCCCTCGCCCTGCACCCAGCGGTAGCAGGGGAAGGCGGCCTCCTCCAAGGCTCCCGGGCCCTGCACGGTGATGCGGTCGCAGAACCAGGCGTCGTCCATCAGGGGGCGGTGTTTGCGCAACTTCACGAACTGCAGTGGCCCCAGGTCCTGGGGAATGTTCTGTTCAAACTCCTCCACCTGCGAGGACCAGAACCCGGTGAGAACTAGTATCGGGGACCCAGGAGAGGACGTTTAACTGAGGGTGTGGGGTCCTCTGTGGAGTCCGGGGTCAAGGCCTCCAGGGACAGCATTGCCTCCTCCCAACACCTGCACCTTCTCAGATGCCCATCTCACAGGGAAGACCAGGGTCTTGAATTGAAAACTGAGCATCATCACCCACACCTGTCCATTAGCTAAACTCTCCTGTCCATTAACTGAACTCTCCTGCCTTCGAGGTCTCCTAAGACTTTGCTTTTGACCATTGACCCATAATGACACTGGTCTGGGATTAATTGGGAAAGTAGTGGAGGCTGAGTGGACCAAAGTAAGGGACAGGGAGAAAGTGGTTGAGCCCAGTCAGGGCCCCGACTCTGAACCTCTCACATGCTCAGGTGCAGGTGTCCCTTCATCCAAACAGTGCCAGCCCACCTGGTTGCTCTCGCAGCTGGCTCCCAGCTTCCTGTTTCCCACCCATCCTCAGGCCCTCAGGCCCTCAGGCTCTCAGCCCACACCCAGCTGGGTTCTGAGTCCTTGCTTCCCCTGCCCACCTGGCCCCGCACTGGCCGCAGCTGCAGCTCCAGCTCCGCCTCTCCGCGCTCCCCCACCAGCCACAGCTGCACGGGGTTGACAGACCCAGAGAAGAGCCAGGCCCCGGTGGCCACGCGGATGCGGTAGCGGCCCATGGCAGCAGGTGGGCTCTCCTGGGTGGCAGATGTTTCGTTACTGGTATCAAAGATTCCGCGGCCAGGCCTGGTCCTACTGCCTCACGACAAGCCCAGGGCTTAATAAAGCCGGACTTGGAGTGCCAGCCCACTGCAGGAATGGGCCCCACCCCAGACACACCTGAACCTGGATTAGTCCAGAGGGTGGGGGAAAGACGGCTGCTCCTCTCAGCAAAGTGCTGAGAAGTGAGGCCAGGAGGAAGATGAGGGGCAGAGCCTGGGTGCAGGAAGAGAGGGAGAGGGGCAGGGAGATTCCACCAGAATTTTCTTTTGAGGCCCTCATTCTCCCTTACCTATACCCAATGCCGGTATATGCCCTTGAGCAGAATTGAACCTGGGACCCTTCAGTCTGAGGACTGATGCTCTATTCATTGAGCCAGACCAGCTAGGAAAAGGATTACTCTCTTGATGGGTGTTCAGTATTAACTATCACAAGTGCTTTTCTCTGCATCTTCATCAGCATAAAAGTGGTTACTTTTGAGTTTTTGCCAATAGGATGGGTGTAATTTCAAGAACGTTGAAGGGTCTTTAAAAACTAGTTAGATTTGACTAGTTGTTTGAGAGATGGTAGCAGAAGACAGAAAATGTTTAGTTCAGTAACTAAGGGGACATTATTATATGGGGCAAAAGCAATAGCCACAGCTCATATTCACGTCAGTACCTCATGCCCTTCCAAGTCCCATGAGAATGATTCAGGTGGGTATATGTGGATGTCAACACAGTTAGTGGGCCACCACTGAGTTGGGGACTCAGCACCTTTGTGGTAAGCAGGTCATGTCCATTCTCTGTCTACAGGAACATAACCCCATTGCTTATGATTGCTCACTGCGGAAACAGCCTTGATAAACCCAAGTAAAGGCAGTCAGGGTGTTGCATTTCTGACATCCCCAGCAGGAAGACCAAGCTGCATGCAAGGCCCATGACCAATCGCACTAGAATGATATGGGTTAGCTCCTAAACTCCTTCTAAGAGCTTCCTAACGAATAAAAAACAAAACCTAAGTTCTTCACCAAGGTGTGGTTGCCACACACAGTTAAACCTGCTGTCAGTGAAATGATAAGGAAAAATGTAGAAAAGGGAAGTATAGAAATGTAGTCCACAGAAATTTCTATACACATTAAGGTGAACCCCTGAGTTTTTTTTAAAAAAATATTTTTATTGTTTAAAGTATCACATATATTAATATATATATCTCCTTCCCCCTCCTCCATTGACCTTCCCCCAGCCTCCTCTAACCCCTGTCGCATGCCCTCATCTCACCCCCCACAGTGTTTTGTGTCCATTGGTGTGCTTATATGCACACATACAAGTCCTTTGGTTGATCTCTTTCCCTCCCTCCCCAATACTCCCCAGCCTTCCCGCTGTAATTTGACAGTCTGTTCAGTGCTTTACTGCCTCTGTATCTATCTTTTTATTCATCAGGTTATAATGTTCTTTATTTTTCACAAATGAGTGAGATCATGTGGTATTTTTCTTTCATTGCCTGGCTTATTTCACTTAGCATAATGCTCTCCAGTTCCATCCATGTTGCTGCAAATGGTAGGAATTCCTTCTTTTTATAGCAGTGTAGTATTCCATTGTGTAGATGTACCATTGTTTTCTCATCCACTCATCTGCTGATGAGCATTTGAGCTGTTTCCAAATCATAGGGGTGCATATATCCTTTCTGATTAGTGTTTCTAGTTTCTTGGGATATATTCCTAGAGGTGGGATCACTGGGTCAAATGGGAGCTCGATTTTTAGTTTTTTTTAGGAAACTCCATACTGTTCTCCACAGTGGCTGCATCAGTCTGCATTCCCACCAGTAGTGCAGGGTTCCTTTTTCTCCGCGCATCCTCACCAGCACTTGTCGTTTGTTGATGATTGCCATTCTGACAGGTGTGAGATGATACTGCACTGAACCCATGAGTTTTTTTTTTTTTTTTTGTTTTGTTTGTTTCTCTCTCTCTTTTTTAAAAAATATATTTTATTGATTTTTTTTGCCCCCCTCCCTTCCTCCCACACATCCCCTCCCTCCCCAGAGTTTTGTGTCCATTGGTTGTACTTATATGCATGTATAAAAGTCATTCGGTTGATCTATTATCTCCCCCAGATCTTCCTCCCCTCCCCACTGTAATTTGACAGTCTACTTGTTGATATACTGTCTCTATATCTATCTTTTGGTTCATCAGTTTATAATGTTCTTTATCATCCACAAATGAGTGAGGTCATGTGGTGTTTCTCTTTTATTGATTGGCTTATTTCACTCAGCATGATGTTCTCCAATTCCATCCAGGTTGCTGCAAATGATGAGAATTCCTTCCTTTTTATGGCAGCATAGTATTCCATTGTGTAGATGTACCATAGTTTTTTGATCCAATCATCTGCTGACGGGCACCTAGGCTGTTTCCAAATTCTGGCTGTTGTAGATTGTGCTGCTATGAACATAGGGGTGCATATATCCTTTCTGATTGGTGTTTCTAGTTTCTTGTGAACCCATGAGTTTTGATAGATTATGGCCTACACCTGTTCACAAAGCTAATCCTAGCAGCAAGCCTATTATTTTAGGCTCTCTGCACTGGTGTATCTTTACTTTGCTTGAGTATAGTGATGGTCAGAGATAGCCTCTGCCAGAAAAAGGGGTCAGCATGGGACCACGGCTACTTCACTCATTAGATCTCTATGCCTGATCTTTGCTATGTTTCTTAACCCTTATACTTGCAGAGTCAGCAATAGCCTGACTTTAAGCCAATCCCAATCCCACATTCTTGACAATTTTAATCCAGACATCTTTATGCAATATTTTACCTCAGGCATATACAGGCTAATAAATGAAGCAGGAATAATAGAGTTAGAATACAGTGGTGCCTCACACAACGAACTTAATTCGTTCCAGGAGCAAGTTTGTTATGCGAAAAGTTCGTTATGTGAAACGCGTTTTCCCATAACAATACATCTTAAAAAAAATAATTCGTTCTGTAGCATAAAATATGCTAAGATGACATAAAAAAAGATAAATTTTTTGTTATTATTTTTATTTAGATACATCTAAAAACATATATATATATATATTTTTTTTTTAAAAACACACATTTTTTAAATTTTAAGACAGACTAAGTAGAGTCTACCGAATCTTGCACATCTTCATCCATTTTCTGCTTTTTGGCCGATGGTTTCATGAAAAACCTGTCCAAAGTCGTTTGTTTTTCTCTTTTCTCCAACATCTGCCGGAAATAACGGACAAGAGTATCGGAGTAAAGATCGTTGATCCTGTTTGCTTCAGCTGAATCCGGATAGTGGGCATTGGTAAACTCCTGAACTGCTTTCCATTTGACCAGGATGTTCTTGATGTCAGCAGTTGGGATTGGTTGATTGTTTGATTGTTGCTCCTCGTTATCAGATGACGCTTCCCTTTGAGCATTGTCCTGTTGCTGGACCAGAAGTGCTTGGAGCTCTTCAGTTGTCAGCTCTTCTTCGTGTTCCTCAATAAGCTCCTCTACATCCTCTTCCTCTACCTCTAATTCCAACCTTTGGGCCACTGTGATGATGTCCTTCACCACTTCTGTGTCATCAACTACTGCTTCTTCCTGGGTCCACGAAGGCACAAGCATCTTCCAAGCAGAAATGAGGGTCCTTTGTGACACTTCTTCCCAGGCCTTCTGTATAAGTCGTATTGCCATAAGGACATCAAATTTCTCCTTCCAAAACTTTCGGACAGTCATATTGTCTCCACCAAACTCGCATTCTTCAAACACCTTATTAAAGAGGGCTCTAGTGTAGAGTTTTTTAAAGTTCGCAATAACTTGCTGATCCATTGGCTGAAGAATGGATGTGGTGTTTGGTGGCAAATACTGCACCTTGAGAAAAGGATAATTTTCCTGCAATATTTCCTCTAGGTCTTTTGGGTGAGAAGGGGCATTGTCAAGTATCAGAAGGGCTTTGAGCGGCAGTTCTTTTTCCAGCAAGAATTTCTTCACGGCAGGAGCAAAGGTTTCCAGAATCCATTCATTGAAGATAACTTGGGTCACCCAGGCTTTTTGATTGGACTTCCAATGGACGGGCAGTTTGGACTTAATAACGTTATTTTTCTTGAAAATTCTTGGATTTTCAGAGTGATAAACCAATAGAGGTTTGATCTTGAGGTCTCCGCTGGCATTAGACGAAAACATAAGGGTAAGTCTGTCCTTCATGGCTTTGTGTCCTGGCAATTTCTTCTCCTCTTTTGTAATGAAGGTTCTGCTCGGCATTCTTTTCCAGAAAAGACCCGTTTCATCGGCATTGAACACTTGTTGTGGGCAGTATCCTTCATCCTTAATACATTTTTGAAAGTTAATAGAGAACTTTTCTGCTTCTTTCTTGTCAGCACTGCCAGCCTCACCATGCATAGTAACGCTGTGGATTCCACACCTTTTCTTAAATCTAAAAAACCACCCCCTGCTGGCTTTGAATTCTTCTTCATTATCTTGATTGCTGCTACTTCCAGGGACGTTTTTCTTTAGATCGTCATAAATTCTCTTGGCTTTGTGACAGATAATATCTTGGGTTGTTACATCACCTTTCACCTGCCTGTCCTTAATCCAAATCGCTAATAGCCTCTCCATTTCCTCGTGGATTGAAGACCTATGTTTTTCATGAAATAGTTTTGATACTCCTTTGGCTACTTTGGCTGATTTGATTGCATCTTTATTTGTCAAAATGGTGAAAATGGTGGTCTTGCTGAGGCCAAACTCTTTGACGAGGTCACACTGTTTTACCCCACATTCACTCCTTCTAATTATTTCCTGTTTCATTTCAACAGAAATCACCTTCCTGCTTTTTTTAGAAGCCATGATATAAAAAAAATATTGAGTTTAACTTAAAAGGACGACTGCCGTGATACGTGCGTGATTTAATTCGTAATGAAGAACGATTGCCGCGATACATGCTTAAGTTAAGCACAGTGACTAACGACTGCCTGCAGTGCCTGCGCGGAAGGATGCAAT